CCCCCTCCCGCCACCCTTCTCTCTCTCGCTCTCTCGTTCGTCATGCCGAAGTGACCACATCGCAAAAGACACACTTTCCTTCCGCTAGCTTCCGCTTCCGATAAACCGATCCTTCGACTATTGACACCCGTTATGAGGACTCGTCAAGAGAAACAGGGGTTGGTCCGAGAAGATCGTTAAGAGATCAGAAGCCCATTTGACAAAGATTCCCATGGAGGAAAATAATAATCGAAATTACGGTACTTGGAGTAGATATCGAAGGTATCGAAGGTATCGAAGGTATCGAACGGATGGAAGGAAGTCCCTGAGCATATTACCTGGAGGCATTATTCGGAATCGTGACTCGACTATCTTATCGTGGCGCCCTTCGCGATAAGATAACGTTCCACGACTCGAGAAAGTCTAGATAAAGATAGCCATTAGTCACGTAGGCCGAAAGATCCCTTCCTATTAATAGGCCTCCTCTTACTTGGCCTCCGTTCTAAAGTTTAACGTTCGCTATATGTCATTTTCGATATTCGATAGTATCAATGGCTTTCAACGGTGGATTTCCTTATCGTCATCGGGAAGGGAAGGTACGGGACTAGTTGGAATTTGATCCGCTGCTCAAAGTGAATAATTGAGTTTGGAGGATGGGATGGCGAATTTGTGAGTCACTCTTCAAAGAGAGAGAGAGAGAGAGAGAGAGAGAGAGAGAGAGAGAGAGAGAGAGGGCGACGATACTCTCGATTTCGTCGAAAAGCGTGGGGTGCCGAGGGGTGCCGAGGGCACATCAGGCCGGAGCCAGAGCCAGGATCATTCAGGGGCGGCGAGAGGGGGGGTCCTCTGCAACTTGTTGCAGCGAACGTTAATAAACGAACCCTCGAAGAGCCCTCGGTGATCCGAGGAAGCGACGCCTTTCCTGTGCTTCATCGAGAAGTTATCCAGGTGATCCTCCAGCAACGTACCCACCACCCTTCACTACCCACAGAGGACAGCACCGGTTGTCTCTGTCCTCGAGGAAAGCCTTTTCAGTGAATCAAGTCGAGGGTGCACGAGGGGAAAAGAAGAGAAAAATGAGAAAATAAAGTTTCAGGAGGAAGTGGCATCGCCATGGCTACCGTGGTGAGTCGTCGTCGGGGAGGCCGTTCGACCGTGTGTGTGAGAGAGAGAGAGAGAGAGAGAGAGGGTGCGCCATGCTCAGACTCTCTACGGTTGAAGTCCTAGGTAGGGAGAAGAGAGTCGAAGTCCCCGTCGAAGGTTCCTGGACAAAGGTGTAGAGAGAGACGGAGTGAGGAGGATGTGGATGCAGTTGGGAGGAGACGGGGGAAGCGCGAGTAGGAAGGAGTAGAGGGGCGGCGGGGAGAAATGTTTATGTATCGGAAGAAACGAAAAGCGAAGCAGTGTGGGCGAGCGAGACGGAAAGGCACGAACGTTTCCGAGCGGCAGTCAGTGAGAAAGCTTGTGGAGGTGGTAAGGTCTACTAGGACTGGTGGTTGTGGTGGTGGACGGTCGCGCCGGTGCTGGTGCCGGTAGTGGAGGTGGTAGTGGAGGTGGTAGAAGCGGCGGCGGAGAAGGAGACGAAGACGCAAAGGCGCGCAGCACTTGACGCGGCGCCGCGCGCGGTTCAACCAACCAGCCAACCAGCCAACCAGCCAACCAGCCAGCCAGCAGGCAGACAAGTAAGCAGAAAAGTAGCCGGATAGACTGGAGGATCAGGAAAGAGACGGGAACTTCCGGAGGAAATCGGCGGAAGCTAACAGTAAGAAGGAAGGCGTCCTGGTTCCAGTTGTTCACCAAGAATCGTCCCTGTGCGGCATTCGGGCTTCATTTTGAACTGGGAAAGTAAAAGCGCCGCGACGCGGCCGAACGAGCGCGCTTGGCTTCGCGCTCTCGCCCCCCCCTCCTCACTCTCTCTCTCTCTCTCTCTCTCTCTCTCTCTCTCTCTCTCTCTCTCTTGTCGCAGGCGCGCGCTATTCTCTCTCTCTCTCTCTCTCTCTCTCTCTCTCTCTGATGTCGCAGGCGCGCGCTATCGCGAGAAACGCGCCAAAGAGTGACGGCCGCGAATACGTGGCACCGTGCTGCTCCGGACTCCGTCGTCGTCGTCGTCGTCGGGATCCTCCTCCTTCAGCGGCCTCGTGGGTGTGGCGCAGCCAAGTGTGACGTGCTGCAGAACGTGGTGCAACGGAAAGACAGAAATCCCGAGAGAGACAGAGGGAGAGAGAGAGACCACGGGCATCGGACCAAAGTCCTCGGGAATCCAGGGAACTCGCTCCGATAATACGAGACGGATCTACGAGGAGTGATAACGTGCACGGGCCATGCTGGAATTCGTGATAGCGACCTCGTCCACTTGGTAGCCAATGCTGAACCCGAGACGAGTCGGACGGGACGCACGAACGAACGCACGTATTTACGCTCGCACGAGGGACACGATACAATCGAATATACTCGGTGGATACGAAAGGAGCGCGCGGTTACCGGCCTCGATTTATCCTCCTTCGCCTTCGCCTTCTCCTTCTCCTTCTCCCGCTTCCTCTCTTCGCTTCTTTTTTATTCCTTTCCCTCTTCCTTCGTCTCCCTCTCTCCCTCGGCCTCTCGCTCTCTCTCTCTCTCTCTCTCTCGAGACCTCCTCCACCGCCTCCTTTTCCTTCCCTTCTTCCCACCACGTCCACCGCCACTCGGTGCACGGCCAGTCGAGATTTCATCGAGTCCCGCACGGGAAAGTGTCTCGCGAAACTCGATCAAGAATTCCGTAAAGTTTGAAAGCAGCGTCCGTTTTACGTGGGTTCTTCACCGATGGATTTCGTGTGATAGCCTCTTAAAACCAGTGGAACGAAGTCTCTTTCCACGTGGAGCGCTGCGCCGGTCTGCCCCTGCCCCCTCGACCCCTCGACCCCTCGACCCATCCAACAGCACAGAAGGTGCACGCTTGGCTTCCTTTCGAGAGAGTCGTGTGGATCAGCTGATCGTGAGTTTCGAGCCACCGTGTACATGCACCGTCCGTACGTCTGTGAGTTCCCGGGCGTGTAACGGGTGTGCTGGGTGAACAAGAGGAAGCCCCGCCAAGTGACTGACTGGAGTGTACGTTGCTGTGAGCGATATCTAATCGCGTTGTGATTCCACAGGATTTGATCGAATATTGTCAGCGGAGAATCCAGAGAGCAGTGTAGTGGATTCGGCAATCCGGGAATTTGGCCACGTGATTGACTGCCAGACTCGAGCGGCTGGCCTTCCCAGAGAGTGAGTTTTTACTTGATTGGACGTGGGAGTACTGCACTCGATGCGGCACACTCGACTGCCCGGAGGGACGCGTCTTGTGTATCACCGAAGCGAAGCATCGATCCCATTGTAATTTCGATAAATATCCATACGGTGTCTATTTTATATCGATGCGCTACCCGATGCGATGCTCCAAAATCTCCAACGTCACTTCTCCACGGACCACACGTGTTTCTGGCTCTGGTAAATTTCATATAAATTCTCCGAAAGATTTTTCACTTTCGTCCTTCCATTTTCGTTCTCCGACGACAGCTATCGTGTTATGTTATGTCATTACATAAGAGCGATTCCGTAACTGTACTCCGTAACCTTCGTAATTATATAGAACACTCTGCTCGACGCCAGTCCATGGCCCTTACCAAATACCGAAACGCGTAAAATGGAGTTTGTGTCGTTGCGCAACAGTCGTGTGTGCTATTGAAGAATTGAGGTCAGAATGCCCTATACTGTTAGCAGCGAGTCGCGCCGCGAGACGCGCGACTACCTTCGATTCTTGCTTCCCAATCGGACGCAGCAGGTCCGGAGAGTTCAGTTTCCAGTGGTGCCAACCGAACGAACTCGTCACTGATAATAATCAACGAGACTCCCTGCGCCGGCTGTTCCAGGATTTCCTGAACACGAGACGCACCCTGTGGCCTTGCACCGGGCAACCAGATCTCTCAGGTAGAATTGCTTTCGGGATCGTCGAAGTGGAAAATTAAAAGCTCCCCGCTTAATTCTAGTGACGTGCGTCCTGACAGATCATTTTGAAAATGAGCCAGACTCCCTGTCAGCCACCAGGTGTATGCAGATGGGGCTGCCGAATCGCAACTCGCGAAACCAATGGGGAGCTATTATCCTTTGACGGACTCGTAGTACGATCTGCCACGTGTCTACCCACGTGGTGCCCGAGGAACGCCTATCGAATCCCTTGGCTGATCCACTGGGGGAGGTTCACCCTAACGGTCGCGTATTATGCCGGTTGCCTCCGGCTAGTCTCGTCGTGTCCACATCATTGAGCAGCCTAAAAACCCTTCGGAAGGTATTACGTTTCTCGGAGATGATTGACGCGCCAATAGGAATTCTGATCTTCCTTTGGCAACCGTGAAACACGTGGATAAGGGGGGGGGCCTTCAAAGATCTCAACCAGGCAACCGGATGCTGCTTATTGACTGACGAGTGGAAAATTTTTACCTAACTCAGCCTGGAAATTGAAATTTTCCAAAGCAGCAGGATTCCAAGCTATTTGCTCTAAGAATTCTCACGATGTCGAACGGTAGCACGTGGATACGCATCCTCACGCACAGCTCGTGCGTTGCGTGAAGATTTAACGAGGATGAAAAAAGTAGCACGCTCGAACTTCCTGTCACGCGTTCTCCAGCCTCCGGGTCCATCGCCGAGCCCTTTCTACGGCGCTTTCTATGCTTCGCTCTGCGGGAGACTTTTTTGCCAGGCCGAGAGAGAGAGAGAGAGAGAGAGAGAGAGAGAGAGAGAGAGAGAGAGAGAGAGAGAGAGAGAGGGTGAAGGCAAAAAAATGTGAAGTTTAATGAATTTCTTACGGGCTTTCTTCTCCGGCGCTTTGCGCGTCATTAGGGGAGCCAGACATTGAAATTAAAAGAGTCGCGCGAATAAAAAGCTCGAAGACGCGCGACTACGGATTTTTAGTGACCCCCGGCCGAATTTATTTCCGACCTCCTGCCTGTATCCACGTTACATACGTGAGGCGTCTCGCCACACATTCCGAAAAACAGAGGATGCCCTCGCCTCGTTAAATCGACAGAGTCTCCTTATTAAAAGACAAGCCGCGTTGTGCTTTTTCTAAATTCCTTTGAAACAGCGTCAGGGAGCGCACAGGGACACGTTGCCAGCGTCAAATAGTTTCCGACTAATTGGCCTGCAGCTTCACTCTGGCAATCCATAGACACTTAGTCCTCCCATCTACAAGAAGATGACTACGATAATTAGCCTGTACTCGATTAGGAAGCTTCGTTGCAAGAAGTATCTTCGATGTCCGTTCTTCGGGTTGTAGCAGTCATTCGAAAGTCATTACAGCTACGGGCAGATAAATTCCCGATTAAAATAGTCTCCGCTCTTGGGTGGTCTTTCGCGAAATCGATTTTGCGAGAGCGCGTACCAACGTACCAACGTACCAACGTACCAACGTATAGGGACGTTTAGGAAGAAATAAAAAGAAATGACGACCCCGAATTCCAGTACATGCAACTGTTGACTAAAGCGACGTTCTCTTGATCTCCTCGGCGGGCCGACTGCTGGCTCTATGGTCTCGGGCAGTTTACCAAAAAATTACATTTTTCAGCACGACTCACAACTATTGTCACTTGCCTCTCAATCTGAAATCCACGTGTCCAGAGAAAATCTCACAGTAGGGGACCAGTCAAGACACAAGATCTTTGAACGGGTTTGACTCTCCCGGCAAGCTCAGCGTGGGCCCGAGACCTTGCCTATTTATACTTCCTCGGCAGACGCATACAAGCCTCAAGACCTCTAGGGCGCCAACATACCAGCTTCCACAGAAACTTGGAGCTGCCGATACGTGATTGCTATACAAGTGCCTTAAATGAATTTTCGAGGTTGTCCCTTGCAAAGTAAATGCACGTGGATGAGAATGCGCGAACGCGGCTCCTCGGCAGGCGACGTTCGCGTCTGACAATCGGGACGCGATTCTTCTTTATCAAGACGGGGGAATCGACTCCGTGATAATTGACAAGACCTCGGAAAGTCGGCCATAGTTGTCAGTCAGTTGCCGGTCGAACTATGGAAAGCGTTTGAGCGAGCAGCGGCCTACTTCGGGCAGCCAGATATTTTTAGCATTAGGGTCACACGGTTGTACTCGAGAGACGTCGGTGTGGCCCTTTGCATCTCGCCAACTAGATATCGCGACAACCCGTGTTTCCATAGGCCTTGAGAAATCTAAAGCATCCCTTGTTTTTTTCTCTGACGTTGCAGAGTTATCGGAAGATCGCGAGACAAGTGAGCACTCCCGACAGTGCGCCAGCGGGTCTGGGTAGTCCGCAGGCAGGAATAGGACTCCAGCAACATCAGCAGCAACAGCAGCAACAGCAACAGCAACAGGCACTGCACTCCGATCCCATGCAGCAGGCTAAGGACAATCTGAATCCCGCTGCGAGCCAGCAACCGGGGACTCTGAGAAACGGAAATCCTCCACCGCCGGTAGTATCCATGGTGAGTCTTCGTCTTGTTTTTTTTTTTTTCAATATTTTCTCTCTCTCTCTCTTTCTCTCTTTAGTTACTACCAAGGACTCATCTTAGAAACTCCGAAAGTCCTTTCGGAGTCTACGTACAAGTAATCTCACAGTTACGGACAGGTTTCCTAATGGCGACAGCTAATCTATAGTTACGACGTGGTTTAGCTTATCGGCGTAAACGTGCAGCCTATCTCCGCTGCGCTCCAGTTTCCCTCGTGTCGGGTTCGCCGAATCATTATTGTGCATCAGCCAGGGTATCACTTTCCGGGACGTGTCGCACCCACCCACACACGCGCGCACGCGGAGCCAGGGTGGGGGAGGGACCGGAACCGGGTCGGAGGGAGCAGGCTGCACCGTTCCCGGCAACAGGATAGGAATCCCGGAGGTTCTCGAGGGAGCTGCGAGGAAGCTGCGAGGAAGCTGCCTTCCCTCGCGACGCGCCGGGGAACTTTCCTGAATGAACTCCCGACCTCTCGGACGATCCCAAATCCTCGAGAGTGAGATCCTGACCTAGACCCCTCGGCCAAACCACTGGCTGCTGTCCTAGTGGCTTCCACACGCGCCATTGCACGAAAGTCCTCGAAAAATCTTCGAGATCGGTCCTACCTTCCCTCTTAGGAATAAAGAGACTCCTCGAGTGCCGGTCCAGCCGACAGGGAGAAGGAGGAAAGGCATAAACGAGGAAAGGAATGTGGTTGTCTTTGATGACAGCGTGAGGAACCTCTCGATTGTTGGCTCAGGATACTCGGCGAAGATACTCGGCGCTGAGCCAGTCCGGTGTGCGAGGTTACTGGGCGAACCAGTCTGCTCAGCAGCTTCTATACTCCGATAGGCTGGACCTCATCTCCGCGCCTCACTCTCCCTCCACTTCAGCCAAGCTGGACGCAGCCAGTAATACAGAAATTCGATTTTTTTCTACCGACTTCGTTAACAACGAAGCTCCATGACGCTTTTTTGGTATTTTTTAAATTCCGAACTGGAATAGAGCTGATGGGCCAGATAAGGTGCACACCTTGGATTACGTGAGTTTTCCATGCCGGCCGTGAGTGCGAGAGAGACGGAGCGATTGGCACTCGCACGTGTCAGAGTGAGACAGGCACAGTCGGGCCGCCAAATTGCAAGGGCACCTACTCACTCCTTTGGCTCCTACGTCTACACACGGACGGCAGCGGCCATGTGAATGCAGTTGCAATAAAAGTGCATAAGGCCCCTCGACGCTGTGCTCTTGGGGGGAGCGGGACGAATTGTCGAAGATCCCGAAGGTCGATGCAGTCTGACATTGTGAGAGGAGCCTTAGAGTCCTCACGGAAATCGTGTGGAGCCATCCGAGGACGATATTCCGCTCGCGATGCATCGACGTGACTCCTCACGGCCGGTCGCGTATTTATAGAGCGTTTGTCTTGCAGCCTCTGGACTCTCTTTTACTCTCCATCCTACAGCCTCCCCCGTCTGTACTCCGATCATCTCGGGTCGGGACGCTCAATGGCGTCGCTTCGATTTATGCGAAATCGCCACGACTAAAGATGCATCCCGTCCATTCTTCTGTCTGCTTCGCGTCTTCTCGATTCTTCTCCCAGTTTTTCATTTGTTCCTCGCTACCATTTCTCCCTCTTATAATTTTTCATCCCTTAATCGTCCCGTTGCATAGGTATACGGCACTGCAACCCTCCTGATATTATTTCTTCCTCCCCTTCGCTCTCGCTCGGCAGCTCACTCTCCCTCTCTCTCCCTCTCTCTCCCTCTCGGATTCTCCTCGTAGGTTGGTGGTTCCTGTTCCTGCGGGTATTGATTCGCGTTGGCGGCCGGTCGCCGCCCCCACAGCCGCTGTCTGCCGTTAGTCTACCCCTTCTTTGCCGTTATACCTACTGCCATTTTACGAAGCCAGCTCACGACCAAAAAAAAATGCTCAGCCAGTCGATCCACCCTTCCGATAAACCGCTTCTACCCTTACGGTCAGGGTTAAGGCTCTTTTAGAGCTGTCGGAGCACCTCGGGAAACCACTGTCTGCCGCAGAGTGGGAAATCGCGCTGGACGTGCCGTGGGTGCGTTTTCTCACGAAGAAAGGTAACGGCCATTTCACGTATCCTCATTAACGTCAGAGTGACTACTGGGCTGATTTACAATGCGACGCTGCTTTGGTACGGCGACCGATTTGGCTCGGTGAAACAGCCGAGGAGGAAGAGCGAAAGACCACGTGGTCTTGTAAGGGGTGCAATTCGCTGGGAAATTGAGCAGGTATCAATGGCGCGATAAGGGAAGTTTTACTGCTCAAACGATATCGCTTTATTGAGTTTCCTAGTCTGAGCACAAGGACGTGACCTATTCGCATGCTCGGCTGGAGAACGTGCACATGCACATGCACACGCACATGCATCGACAAATGAATTTGCTCGATACGAACAGCCCTCGCACCGTGGAAGCGCGACCCTCCCTGGAGCCGAAGCGGTTAATGAAATAAACGTATCGATATGGGGCTGATTGCCCTGGCTAATCCCCCGATAAATTCGTGAGCCTTTATTCGAATTCTCCGTTAACAATCCACTTCTCGATTGAAACGAGCAGAAAATGCGAATTCGAAGGGCGTTTTGCACGTAATGGGGTTTGGGTACCTTTTCTCGGCACGTGGGAAAGCTATAAGAGAGTCTTTCCTCCGAATGCTCCTCCAGTCAAGTTCGAGCTTAATTGAAAGTCATTGCGAAAGCCCTCTGGCTTTGAGGTTCCATCCATTGATCCCCCGGGATGCGCACCGAGATCGCACTGGACCAGGAGGACGTGCAGCCAGTTCCTTGAGAAGATAATGGATTTTTGATAGAGGCCCGCGGAGTCTGTGAATGTCGAGGGGAAGGGTCGGGAGCCTTTTTGGGGTTGCAAGAGATACGCCTAGACGGTAATAGAGGCCAAGGGAGGTTGAATGGGGCCGAATGGGGATGAAAGAGGCTAAAAGAGGGTTCGGCACGGAAGAGCCAAAGGGGAAGGAATAGGTTGGCGCGTTCCGAGGGTTATGTTTGGGTGTTGTCGACTGTGTCCCGGGACGTAACGTTTTATCGCGGTATGAGGCAACTGAGCTCACATTGGCCTAGGTCACGGTGCCACGAGAACGGAAGGACTTGCCCCTTGGGGGAAGAGAGGGATGTTAGGAGGGGTCGCTCCAGGATGAGGTTGCGGATGAGGATGAGGATCGGAACGAGGGTGAGGCTCCCTCGGCTGGCTGGCGAGACGCGCGTCTGCTCGTCCTCGATACCATCAACTTCAACCACAAACACCGAACCGCAAGCCACTTCGGGCTTCGGTCCGTGCCCTTCGACCCTTTTCCTTTTTACCCTCCCAGCCCTCGCTTCCTTAAGCTCCATTTCCTCAACCCTGACCTTATCACCTGGATGAATACATCACCGCTTAGGAAATCGGAGGGACTCCCCTTGGATCGCGGGATTATCCATCATCCCCTTGTTTATCCGAATCCTCTCTTCGATAGTTTCCCCGGCGTGCCTTTGTATTCCACGTACAATAGTTTCTTCCGTGGCAATTAAACCGGGAATGTTTTGCAAACCCGCTTGGAAACTATCGACAGCCCTATCCGGTGTCAGGAGAGTGCTAATGAAGCAGCGCGCCAATGAACAAACCCACTAATTACTAATTAACAGGGCCAAATCCCAATAGCACCTGTAACCGAGTTACTGTGCGTAACAGCGCCGGCGTAACGAAGGTTCGCACGAGACGTTTCGCTGTTGCTATATGGATTTTTCTCCTACCCCAATGAACTTTTCGCACCACCCCCGTTGCAGTGGTCACTCCTTGTTGTCGGTCAGTGAAAGGGTGGGATATTGATCCTGCACGTCTTTGGATCTTGAAGCGCAACAGTACGAAAACACAGGCGGCCGTCCTTCCAGCCTACCCGTGACGTCATAAAATCAGAGCCAATCGAGAAGCGAATGCTAATTCCACTGAGGAATTAAGGGTGACGATGGTCTCCGTTTCCGGTAGCGTATGCTTAGCTGGAAACAACCCTAGCCCGGAGTTTAATGTACCCATCTATCATGGAAGCTCCCTCAAACGCTTACTTCGTGCAAGGCTTAACTGCCGGAGTTTCAGCTTCGCCCAAATCCCAAACCTTTTCTGAGATTTCAAGCACGAAACCCAAAACCCACTGCCAGGACCCAGCCAAATCCTGGGAGACTCTAGGAGACCTAGAGTGGCTGAATCCCTGGGGACGTCTTCCAGGAACAGTCCGTAACGCGTGTCGACCCACCCTCGTTCCTGTTATACTTTAATACAGGCAGCCAATTCCCTGCGCAATGAAATTCAAACGCGGAAATTTGCAATTTTGAGAATGTTTGTTTGTTCGCGAGGCTGTTTGTTTTACGACGTCATATGGCTACGGTAAAGCGCGGTGATTCTTATTTTACAGCCGACGATAGTTTCGCGCTCGATGCGACGCCGACGTCCCGGCGGAAATGAAAATAAACGAAAGCACCTTCGCGCAGGTATCGCGATTCGCCTTTCATGTACAGAATTCATTGTGTTAGCAACGTTGCACGTGAATCCAGGTGGAAGCGCTTGCGATGCACGTGTCTAAGTACCACCGTGGAGGCATCTATGGTTTTCCGGGCATATTACATCCCTGAAAGGTTCCCTTTCATGTGGCAGACAGCTATAAACTTTCACAGCGCTTTTCACAGTTTTCGCGGTGCTTCTCTGATACCAACAAGCGGGAGGGAGGGGGGGGGGAGCTTAAGCCAGCTGAAGTTTAACCGGATGAACCTGCCCGTTTGATGGATCCACGTAGTGGAAGCTGCATTCTGCCAGCAGGACTTCGAACGAGATAATCTTAGGGGATTTTTTAATCTGCGTTACAGTCGCCAGGAGTGATGCCATTCTACGGGGACACCGGTGCCGGGTTCCGGCCCGCGGCTGGATTTGGTAACACCGTGTGGCATCAGGGTGTCGGTCCGGTTGGTGCTGTGACAGTGGAGACCACTCCAGCAACCTGGCCACCCCAACAATTCATCCAGCAGATACCTGCGCCAAATCAGCTTGAGGAACTGAGGTATCACACGCAGTACAGCGCGGCGACACCTTATCACCCGCAACCTGGTAAGCGTCGGATTCCATTTCTGGAGTCAAAGTATGACTGGAACTTGAGAACTACTCTAACTGGCTGATTCGACGATTTCAGTTGCCTATCAGCAGCAGGCCTTTATCACGGCGGATCAGTCCGCTTTTCAGCGTGCCGGGGCGACGGGACAATACGCAATTACGGGTCAGCCCTCACCCCTGGCACCGGTTGCGCCACAAACAGCCGCCTCCACACCTCAAAGGCCACTTAATGGTCAGTTCATGGATCCCACGGCCACACCGGGTCAGGCTGTTGGTTACGAGAGGCAGGAGTATGTTAATGGATATCAACAGCAGGTGAGAAACTATTACGATTGTCACTTAATGTGCTTTAGAAACTAATCTCACGGGGATGTTTGTGCGCCTAGGTGGATCTCTGATTGATTTTTTCTTTGTCTCTATGGATTTTTCCTATTTTGATGGTTTTATAGGATGTGACAATGGCGCCTCCGCCTTCGACTACGCCGACGAGTCGTAGCAGTTCAGTTCATATGGATACACAGCAACAAGCACAACAGCCACCGCAACAGGCACAGCAAGCTGCCGCTACGGACACTCAGGTGAAGGGATTCGCTACAATTGCCGCGGCCAATGTGTCGGGAAACGAGATGCCTGGGTATCCACTTCAACCGGGCCCACAGAGTTTACACAACTCTAACGGATATCCAGGCTATGTGGAAATGGGTCAACAGCAATCGCAGAACCAGTGGCAGTCGTCCGTTACGCAGCAGCAGCAGCAGCAGCAACAACAGCAGCAACAACAGCAGCAACAACAGCAGCAGCAACAACAGCAGCAACAGCTGCAGAGACAGCAGCAGCAGCAACAAGCGGCGAACGAATCAAACCAGCGACACATGTGGTCCGATACAGGCTCGAAGATTGGTAGCGTTAATGGAATTAACTGGAACGACGCCAGTCTGCAGCAACAGCAACAAATGCAGGCTCAACAACAGAATCAGCAACAACTGCAGAATCAGCAGCAGAGCCTGCAGAATAGTATAAAGCAGCAAAACGAACAGAATTTACAAAATCAGCATCAGCAACAAATGCAGAATCAACAAGAGCTACCTCGACCAGCCAGTCATATGAGCTGGGAAAACAGTAGTATAAAAGAGCCACAGACTCCTCAGTCCTGGTCAGACAATACAGAGAATCAACAGCAGCAGCAAAAGTCACAGCAACAGCAACAAGCTCAGAACAGCTGGCCGCAACAAAGTCCGAAGCCTCGCGAGAGTCAAAACTCGAGACTGACACCGTCCGCTCAGCAACAGTCCCAACAGGGCTGGCCTCAGCACTCGCCGAAACTCTCCGAGCATCAGAACTCTCAACAAAACTCAAGAATGACACCGTCCGGACAACACGGTTGGCAACAGAGCAGCCCCGAGATGTCGGGGCAGCAAAATTCCCAACAAAATCCTAGACTGACTCCGTCCGGTCAACAGATGCAGCAGCAGCAGCAGCAGCAGCAACAGCAGCAACAGCAACAACAACAGCAGCAGCAACAGCAGCGACAGCAGCAGCAGCAGCAGCAGCAGCAGCAGCAGCAGCAGCAGCAGCAGCAGCAGCAACAACAACAGCAATGGTCACAACAGACTAAAATCGAACAAAGTCCCAGACTAACTCCCTCTAATCAAATGTCATGGCCGGACACGCCGACTAGTCAACCAAATTGGTCACCCAGTAGTCTGAAGAGCGATAGCAGCCAGCAACAACCTCAGCAATGGCCCGACTCTCAACCGAGTCCTCGAAGAACGCCAGGACATCAGCCCGGGGCCTGGCAGAATCCCAACAATCAGGATACGAAAATGGAAAGTCAAATAAACTGGTCACCAAATTCGGGACCAGAAAGCCAGCCCAGTTGGGGCCAACAGGCGACAAAACAAGAGATGCAGAATTCCGGTGAAAGAATTATGTGGCAACAGCAAACAGCCGAAGCTAGTAAACAGAACGGATATCCTGAGAGCCAGGATGGCCAAGAGAACAACATGTTCTCGCAATCGAATAGAGTCAATTTAAATAGCCGACTCAAGACGATGATACTGAACAAGCAGCAGCAGCAGCAGCAGCAGCAACAACAGCAAATGCAACATCAACAGATGCAACAGCATCAAATGGCTCATCAGGATCAGCAACAGCATCACGTACATCATCAGATATCGCAACAGCAACATCGCAACGGTGGAAACGCGCCGAATGGCGATTTTCCAACGGACGACAGGATACGAGAATCTCATGAAAGTGTAGAGAAGCTACAGGACAAGAGACCGGAGCAATATCTAAATCAGTCTGCCATGATGTCAATGGCGCAAACGAACGAATCCATGACCGGTAATTTTTTATTGCATAGCCACCACCCTCGGGCCAATAGTTTGCCCGGCGGTGGTGGCTTATGGGAATGGACGGGAGGAGGAAACAATCTGAACAACGGTAGCATGCTACCGGAAACCGGTATAAGCGCCATCGAGAATTTCATGAAGTTCGCCGCGGACGATAAGACGATACTCGAGAGAACGTGTGACAAAGAAGAAGAGCAACAACATCAGCAACAGATGCAGCAACAAGAGCAATCCTGGAATGAGGATAAACTCGAGAGCCAGGAGGAACCCAATATCGACGACAAGTCTTTTCAGCAAAGACTTTGCATAGGTCAGGAGGTCGAACGTTCCATCGAGGACAAGAATAAGGCCCTAATCGACTCCCAACAAGACGCGCCGCAACATTCAGAAAAGACACTAGAATCTGAGAAGCCTCTTACGGAAGAAGGCACAAGAGAATTCGCAAAAGATTTCGAAAGTGGCGCAGTTTCCAGTGAACAAACGTATTCCGAAACCACTTCCGCCGCTACGGACGTGGAATCATCGAGGTTTTCGAGTAGTAGAGAAACGGAAGAAGAAGTGAAGTACGACTCTAGCCAAGTGATAAAGCAGGAGAGTGGGGAATACTCGTGCGCCTCGGTACCGGAAGTCACGGAATCCAACGCAGTCCAACCGGAGGACGCACAGATTGGACAGAACACGATAAAGACTGATCCGGAGGAGGAAATTGATCAGGAATCGAGCTACAAGTTCAGGGGCGACGGGGGACCCGCAAAGGTATCCGCGGGGGTCGGTTCTTGGTGCTGTCGTCGAGGTGGCACCGAGCAACCAACCCCAGAGCACCTGCGAGAGGGTTGCTGCCAAGGTTTGCAAACAAGGGACGAGATACTCGCCGAGACCCCCCAGAAACCTAACGTGGACGTCAAGAACGAAGGTCCAAACAGTCCCAGTAACTCAGCATCCACGACTGCGCCTCCCAGCAAGTTGCAAGAACACTTGGAGAAACTGAAGAATAATGTGAGGATCGAAGTGCCCGACTGCAACTGCTTTCCTGCCGACAAATGTGAGTTGCCATTGACTATTCAGCACGACACTAACACTGAGAGAACACACTAACCACGAGAGAGGGCGGAGCCAATCATATGGCGGACCTGGCACACGTCTCAGAGACAAAACGAAACGAGCAATTGGAACGAGGAGAAATAACGAGAGAACGAGTATAGAGCGATGAATTGGACGTACAAGTACTAAGCACGCAATGAGAATAATTTAAAAAAGAAGCAAACAAGATATACATAAAAATTGATAAAAACGGGTGGGTGGGTGGTTGGGGGGAATGCTGATCTCTGAAATTTCCTCAGCTGATCTAATCCGGATCTGATATGATTTGCCTCTGATCTCTTCTGTAAATCGCTTGTCGCGTTGCGTCTTTTTGTGTGCGTGCGTGCATAGTTATATGAGTATGTGTGTGCCTGGCAAAAGTTAAATCGAGTTGATCAACCACAAGGTCCACCCGAGCCTGGCTCGTACTACACTCACCTTGGGGCGGCACCTAGCCTACCCGATCTCAGAAACGACCTTGAGAGACGAACCGGCCTCAAGGGAAATGCGATTCGATTCGAGAAAGTGATCTACACCGGCAAGGAGGGCAAAACTACGCAGGGATGTCCAATGGCCAAATGGGTAAGTACCTCCTCTTCTCCTCTTCTCAATCGACGAGGCTCCGTTTCTCTTCGAAGAAGCTAGCTCCGATTATAACGTTAGACTTTGCTCAGGTGATACGTCGATCCGGTGTCGAGGAGAAGATCCTGACTGTGGTGAAGCATCGTCAGGGGCACAAGTGCGCCACCGCCTGGATCGTCGTCGCCATGGTCGCCTGGGAAGGTGTGCCAACTCACGAAGCTGATCGAATCTACTCCCTGCTCAGCCACAAACTCAATAGGTTCGGTTTACCGACCACTAGGAGATGTGGGACCAACGAGCCCAGGACCTGTGCCTGTCAAGGGCTAGATCCTGACTCCTGCGGAGCCAGCTTCTCCTTTGGGTGTTCCTGGTCCATGTACTACAACGGATGCAAGTACGCGAGGAGCAAGACAGTCAGGAAGTTTCGACTGTCTGTCAGATCAGAGGTGAGAATCCTAAAAGTTTGACGAGACGGAAAAACACGAGAGTGATTTTTAATCGAGTTGGAGGATGTACGAAATTGGTCAAAGGTTCCTGCCTTTTATAGGAACAGGAAGTGGAAGAGAGGATGCATGTCCTCGCGACCCTACTGTCCCCTCTGTATCTCAGCCTCGCACCGGAAGCTTTCAATAATCAAACGCAATTCGAACGGGAAGCCAGCGAGTGTCGCTTGGGATTCAAACCTGGAAGACCATTCTCTGGCGTGACAGCCTGCATCGATTTCTGTGCACATTCGCACAGAGATCTGCATAACATGAATAATGGCTGCACTGTGGTAAGTGGTCCTTTCGAGTCGCGAATGACAAGTTGAGGTGTCACATCGAAGAAAGTTTGGAATTTCACTGAAGATATTTCCATCGATCTGTTGCCAGGTGGTGAGTCTGACAAAACATCGAACCATGACTAAACCGGAAGATGAACAACTGCACGTACTTCCGCTTTACGTGATGGACGACACCGACGAGCTTGGATCTAAAGAGGGACAGCAAGAAAAAGTGAAATCCGGTGCCCTTGAGGTCCTCACAAAGTGAGTTTCATTCGCATAATTCGTTATGAAAATTCCGATGCCTATATCTTATGATCGATTTTACATATTCTTAGATATCCGTGCGAAGTCAGAGTTCGTTCTGTGCCGCTTCAACCCTGTAGAAGACATGGCAAGAAGAGGAAGGAAGACGAGCCGGATACAGCGAGCAACAAAAAAGAGACGGGCAAGAATTCTGAGAAATCGATAGAACGTTCAAGGACACCAGGTCATCAGGATCCTTCAAGGACTCCAGCACGAGAATCACAACTGTCTCTAGAAATGGCTTCCATGTTCGAAGGAATGGACGCACAGCTGCAAAGCTCCCAAGTCTCATCCACGGTGCTGGATAGTCCTGTATCCATGTACCAGGGCTGGGGTTATCAGGGTGAACAACAATGGGGTAGGAGTGGCTGGCTAACCGATCAGAGAAAGAACAACTGGCTCAATCCTTGGAACGAGTATCCTTTCGGCGGATTGGAAAGAGACATCAAGGTGGATCCCGACAGCACAAGTCTGGATGATACCAGGCCAAGAAGTACCATGTCCCAAGAAGACCATCATAGACCAGGATCTCGTAATTTACCAAATTCGACAGTGGAATCGCCCAGAGGAGGTTACGTGCATTCGCCAAGGGGACATCCGGTATCGCCACGAAGTTCCTATCCTAATACCCACGCAGAAGGTTACTCGGTCTCTCCTAGAAGATGCCCTTCGACTCCTCACGATCAACGAATCATCTCGCCCAGAAGTTCCGGGTACCCTGCCCCTCCCGCTGAAACTGGCTACAATCTACCTTCACCTTCTCCAAGAAACTATCAAAACGTCATGGACAACAGACAATCTAACGTCTCCCCGAGGGTCGGCTATCTTCATCCGTCTCCTCATATCGATCCCATGCAGAGGAACGTGTCTCCAAGAGTTGGCCAACAGACGTCACAGACTTCCGGTGACATTTCCTTCAGGAATCAGTCACCCGCGATGGCGCAGTACCGTGCTCTTGCACAAAACAGTATGGACGGGCAGAAGTTATCATCTTCCAGAATGCAACAGGAACAAATGCAACAGAGATACAATCAGAATTGCATGGAGTCTCAGAACGCGGCGCGACTGGCTTCGCCAAGGAGTCAGATGGAGCAGGGATTTCCGGCTAGAATGCAATACCAGTATCCGGCTCAGCAAACGACTCACCCATCGAGAACTCCAGGATATCCAAATCAGAACGCGGAATCGAATCCTTCCGATTTATTTTCTAGTCTTTCTGGAATACCGGCATCCTGCATGGATGCCAGTGGACACAGGACGTATGGTGCTACTAATCCTGAATTCATGATGCACGGTTCGTTACACTTAGCACTGGTGGATCAGCACTTTAGTCAACAAAACGATACTCAGGGACTGATGGGAGCGTCCGATCCGAAGAGGTGCGTCAATCCTTGCGTCAATCCTTGCGTCAAGCCGGGATTGCAGCGGCAGGATTTCAAAACGCCTGGAGCGAACAGTCACTACCCGCCAACGTCCGTCGATCAGACAAGGTCCAATTACGGAACTGGCTGGAACGCCTTGAACTGGAATTCTGAACCATCCAGAGCTACCGGCCAGCCCAATCTGCACGACGGACAACAAATCCAACCAGACGGGATGCATCAGCACAGCGAACAACAGAGACACCAGTCGTGGACAGATCGAATTCCTGTTCCAGAGCAAACGAAACATTGCTGGGAGGCAGCACCCTCGGAACCTTCACCCTTCCGTGTGCCCAAAGGAAGGCCACCCTCGAGAACGGCGCCTAATCCAAATCCCCCAGAATCAAACACCTTTCAAAATTCCTTTGCAAAAACCTTCTTGAAGCCGCAAGAACCAGTCAGGAACACCAGCAACTTCAACGACAATCTATCATCCAGCAATACAAAGAGTGCTTGCGTCGGGAATCAGGCTCAGCAGAAGAGAAGCGACTGGCCCGAAGAGAAGTTACGGGAGGGCTTCCAGGATATCAGGCAGGAAGTACCCAATTCTAATCCGAGCTGTCTCGCGTGGGCCGAGGAGATGAAGCAGGTGCAGGATTTCCACGCAATGTCCGGCCTGGGACATCGCACCTTCCCGCAGTACGGCTATCCAACCTATCCAGTCTTCGATAAGCCTTATCCAAATACATGGGACGGCTACAATTACCACCAACCGTACCATCAGGCAGCAGATTATCCTCATCAATTCTATCAGCAGCCAAAGAGGGAGTCCTGCTTCCACTCCCCGCAATATCCCTACCAAGGAGTGACAAGTTATCAGGGCCTGAACCCAGGATGGGCCCGCTGGGAGACTCCTCGCTGGGACCTGTACGCACCGCCGTCTTACTTCCCGGTTCTGCCGGAGCCACCGCCGAAGGCTGAACCCCTCGGCGAGGTCACGGACTTCTCCGATAACGAAGAGTGCTTCAAGGATCCCCAAATGGGTGGCGTGGCCATCGCACTGGGGCACGGCAGCGTTCTCTTCGAGTGCGCGAAGCACGAAATGCACGCAACGACTGCCCTGAAGAAGCCGAACCGACTGACTCCGACGAGAATCAGTCTGGTTTTCTACCAGCATCGAAATCTGAACAGACCGCGACACGGCTGGGACGAATGGGAGGAGAAGATGAGGCTGCGCAAGCTGGGAGTGACGTCGACGACGACGTCACAGTCGACACCCACAACGCCAACGAGTCCTGGTGCAGCCGGAAGCGAGAAGCTTCTTCAGCTGCCGCAGCCCCCGAGTCTACCCATTGTGCCGAATTCACAGTTCATGATGAGGTCGCCCACCTACACGACCATGACCTGGACGACTCTCTTCCCGATGCATCCTTGCATGATCACTGGACCGTATCAGGAGGGAGGAGCCATCGGATGAGAAATTCCCCAAGGAAGGTACAGTGCTCCAGTGACCAAGCGATGACTGCGAATCCCAGTCAGTCCTTCCCCGGAATGAGATCAAGGGGGCAGTAGAGATCGAGGGCTAGCTGATAGGGATCCGATCGATTTGACTAAGAGAGTCCTTTAGACGAGGCGAGCAAAGTTCGAGATTCATCCTGAATCCCCAGGAACCCCGAAAACTCCGAGACTCCCGAGATGTTTCCTTTGGCCATCATGACGTCCTGATAAGATTGCGACACAAGCGACACAAGCGACACAAGCGGAGAGAGTTAAGATTCAAGGCGAAAGGAGGAGACGAGAAATTCTAAGAACGACATACGAGCGCGATGAGATCCCGAGCGTTCCGCGTACACAGACCAAAAGACAAAAATCACGATGATCTTTAGATGTACCTATACATAGTAATACTAACAAAGCAAAAAATTGCACTGCCATTTTTCTATTCCATGTTTTGCGCGAAAAAATAAGAAAAGAATGTGAGAGAGAGAGAGAGAGAGAGAGAGAGAGAGAGAGAGAGAGAGAGAGAGTGAGAGAGCTGAATAAAGAATGACGATATCTCGAGATACGTGTAAATCCCCACTTTTCGGGGCTTCCCTTTTTATACGGAATCTTTTGTTAGGCCACGGTAAGATGTTACGCGCGCAGGAGACCGGCCGGCCTGCCCGACGCCGGGGGTTACGGATTATTAATTTAAATTGAAAAGGACGCATCGTGATGTCGTGCCAGTGTGTACTCGCCCGATTCTGACATTCTGACAGTGCGTAGAGCGAGACGCCTTCACGATGTTTCAACAATTGACAACCGACGACCAAAGGTCCAGCTGTATGAAGCAGCTGGACCAGTCACACTTGGAGTGGAGCCAGGAGGAAAGTACGAACGATCTGAGATACGCGAGAAAGGGTTTAAAGGGCTCGGGAAGGGGAGAGAGAGAGAGAGAGAGAGAAGAGTACCGAGGCTATTCTCGTGGTACGGATGCTGTAGCATCAGGCTACGTCTTACCGTGCAAAGACTTTGATACAATAGATTTTAAAAGTACGCAAAGTACATTTCAAGTAATAACGTAAAGCGTAAAAGTTTCGTGTTGGTAGCACTGTAATCTTATTAGCTAGTCCATGCCGACAGTCGACGCATAAACAAAAGATGAGGAGACACTTACGGACACAGGATACCTTCAGTCGCATCGGGAAGACAAGGCATTCTCGCATTGCCGTAACGTAACCTGTAATAACACACAGGATGAGACACACATTTAAAAATAGCTCGTATTATGGATTTTCGCACGTATGCACGTAGGGATTCTAGTTACTGGACCCGAAAGACTCTGAAACACTTTTATTCTCAGTACGTTTCATATTCTAGCTCGCGTCTTTACGTATCACTGGTTTTCACGATCGCTTCGTATCAGCCCAGTTGCACAATAAGTCGATTACACGCCTACACCGTACACACGCGTATCACACGTGCTACTTTCAGAAAGATTCAATCGCGGGTAGAAGGAGAAACAAAAAACATAAGAAAAACCCAAAAATGATCTCAACTTTATTAATTACGGTTTTTAAAAAAAATATCCTTATACTTTTTAGCCTTTGTACATTGTGCTTCTTATTCTTCGTATTTATTTGTATGCACACACATTTTTGCACTAACTGTCGTTGTATCTAAAATATGCTTAACACACGAAATACTAACCACTCGCTACGAGGCGACTGAGTACAAAGCATTTTTCCTAACAATCATCACAGCAAGACGAAGGAGAGTGAAAGAGAGAGCGAGCGAGAGAGAGAAAGCGCGAAATAGAGTGACTGAGCGCGAGAGTGAAAACGGCGAGAAGCATTTTTCCCCCCTTGTGTCCCTTTCGAGTGTGGCTTTGTCGATTTTTCAGTTTTAGAAAAAAAAAAGAAAAACAAATTTCGCTCCACTTTCCCTCTGGCGAGTGTAATCGCATTAGCGAGTCTTGCAATTTCCAAGAGTCGCACGCAAAGTGCATATGGGAATTGCAATGCCGGAAATATACTATGTACAATTGTACATATGTGCGTCGGGACGGAGCCACACTTGCGGGCGAGGAATCGGGAAGAAGGAAATGCCGGGGCTCCAAATGAATTCGTATGTTTTCTAGCACCGAACAAAATAAAAGTAAAATTAAAGAAAAACACACGAGAGCCGAATTCCCCGCGTAAGGAATATTATATTTATATGAATTTTTGGAAAATGTTTCTTTGGACTTTTCTTGTTCTTTCGTTGTACATATTAGGTGACTTTTCCTACTTTTATAGGAGGTTCTATATATATATATTATCTTCGTTTTTATTCTCCGTCTCCTTTCGTTTAATCGTGTATCCCTCTAGTGCTATAGTAGTATCTGATCAATTTCATCCTAGAAGGTAAAGAGGATCGGTCATGATTACTCAAACAATTATTACGACGATAATGACGTTTATGATAAGGACAATGCGTGTCTAGGATCGGTTAGCTGAAATTCAAACTATTTATTTATTCTATCGTCAATGTTCTCGCGGTCCTATAGGGAAATTTAGTATCATTTTTTTATGATGATTTTTTCTTCATCGATCTTTACATTTAGCATATTATGATCATTAGAGATTTTTTTAGTGACGATCGATTATACAATTGTTTATCGTCACATTGGAAAAAGCGCGGGGTCGAGGTTTACGGGAAAGAAAATTAACAAGGGATCATGAAGTTCCGTAGGATTTTACGAGACGCGAGGGGCGCCCTCTGGAAAATCCGAAAATGTCACAACCACTTTCCTGCTATTCAATTTCATTCGTTCGTTCGTTCATTAATTCAGTCATCTAGCGATCGATTAGTCCATCACCTCATTCGTACCATTTTCCTATTTTCCCACCCCGGAGTATTATAAGAATCATTAATATATTATCATTCATTATTATGGCATATAATAATTAGTAATATAAAATAATTTAACGGATTATTTATGAATTAAGTTTGACAAAGTGTTATTGTATTACTACTACTATACTACTACTACTACTACTACTACTACTACTACTACTACTACTACTACTACTATGCTACTATGCTACTATGCTACTACTACTATTCTATTACGATTAGCGGACTACTACATAGCACACACAGAAACACAGACACAAGTACACAAACACAGAGTGGCCATCGCATTCTATAATTCGAACCTTTGAGCTACTTGAAGATTTTCGAAAAATTTGGAATTTTCGATGTCTTTCATTTTACACTGTCGAACGCGTAAAAACAGATAGAAAGATATTTCCGATAATAATACTCGAGACTTTTTAATTCGTCTTAATCTTCCATTTCTGGAAAAAAAATAATTTTTTTTAAAAATAAAAACTAGACATCGCGGAGTAATACAGACGATAGTTTGGATTATCATCCGGTTTTAGCGGAGAGCATCGAAAACTCTCAATTTCCAATATCCCGATATATCCCAATAAAAGTCCTATCCAAAAAAATACAAATAGTACGTATGATAAAAATATACGAGGGAACTACGTAAATGTGTAGGTATATGCTCACACGGAAACAAACAGTACAACTCTTCTCATCCGCGAATCCCCGATTTTTCGAAGATTCGACTTTTTTTTCCAAACTCCTTATCTATCGCGTTTCCCTTTATAGATTCCCATGCGTAGCTCGTTTAGCCTTCCTTTAGGGCGATAGCCTTTGTTCTTGTTTTGCATTTCGATTTGTTGACTTTCTTATGTCTGTTTTTTTTTTTTTTTTTGTGGAAATATTTGATTGGGATCGTCGTAGACCGTTAGCACGGGGTCCGAAATATGTTTTTTGTCTCTTTTGGCACGTGCTATTCGTTTAGCCCGGTTCTTATTGTTTCCGATATTCAGCCATCTTGTTCGGTACGTTAGCCGTGATTTTGCGAATGAAAATTTGTCTTCGTCAAAAGATCCGCTCGGCTCCGACAATATGTTCGTTTCTCGAAATGATAATACGTATCAGCCGCACATACTTCCACACACGTGCTGCAGGACAAACCTCAGTGAGGGGTTTTTACGATTTTTTATAAACAGAGAAATGCGAAAAGCATAAAGGAAACTCGAGAGAAATCAACGCGACGATGCCAAAATAGTGTTAAAGCTAATAATTAGAAAGTAAATATACTTGTAATAACTATAACGAAACTATCAAAGCTAAAGTATGTAAGGATGAGAATCATTTTTAAAAGTAATACTATTATTAAAGAGATAATGAGAGACCGAAAGAAAGATGAAGAAAAAAAAAAACTAAAAAGTTATGATTGAATAAAAAGCGAACGAGTAAAGAAAAGTTGAAAAATGTATTTTTTCTTCCAATGCCAAAAAGATGCCATTTTGTTTTGTACGAAAAAACCGATAAAAAGCAAGAAAAAAAATGGGAAAAAAAAGATCACGTAGTTTGTAGCGAACGTATGTAAGTGTAAAATGAAAAAAAAAAAATTTCGATGTGTATGTCTCGTGAAATAAAAAATTGTCCGCCTTATGAAGATGCAAAATACAATTTAGGGGAGGAAGTGAAACAAAAGGGAAAACAAAAGTCGAATGGAAGTAATTACAAACAATAGATATTTGTAGTTTGCAGTAACAGAGTTTTCGAGGTAAACGATATATTGCAGTGCCCAAGATCTTAGCCGAGATGCAGAAATTGCGAGGAACCGAATTCGATGGACGCGAAAAATTCGAAAAAGAAGGACCCCGGCTCCCTTGTTCACGCACATTCGCAAGAAAAAGAAAACATCAGTCGTCCTCGCTATTTCTGCAACTTGGAGCAGATGTCCCTCGACAGCCGCATAGGGCATACGCATGTAACGATGTAACGTTAGACATATAGCGACTACATATGTGTACATATATTTTTGGACAAATCGTGAACAAAATAAAAATTGAAGTATCAGCGCAGTTACGAAAAGGACGTTACGCAACGTTCTGCGGCTTCGTGTCCGAGTGGCGTACCGATCCGATCTAAGATAAAGAGGAAGAAAAAAGAGAGAGTGAGAGAGAGAGAGACAGAGAGAGAGAGAGTAGACAAGACAATCCCAACGAGGGAGAAAATACAATAATGTGTAATATCGAAATAAAAAGAAAGAATAAAGATAAACGATCGCAGATCGGATCGGTATCGACTGAGTGGGTTACGTTTGAGATAAATAATTTCTATAAATCAGCCATTTTGCCCTCTATAAATTCGCCACGCGTTGAACTAGATGTATTTACGACTATTTATTTATACGGAATAAGCGAATGGAAAATCTAATATATTGAGGATGACGTAGAGGGACATAAGCTATATAACGAGTAAGTTTTTAATATATTTCTAAAAATGTTTCTTTTCCCGCCGTTCGCAAATCCGCTGACGGATTGAGACGTCGCGCGATAAATATGCGGATGAAATAATGAAGCAATTGAAAGAAAGACTCACTTCGAAGATAAAGATATTTAAATTAACTAAATTATTACGCCCTGACGTTGGTAAGCTGACAGTGAGCGAGAAGGGAAAAAAAGATAAAAGAAGAATATTTCTAATTTTTTGTCCTCCCAAAACTGTTCAAAGGGCAGAGGAGTAAAAAAAGACGTGGTTGAGCGATGAACACGTTTAGGATGCTTAGGGTATGTTTAGTGAGTAAAGAACGTAAGTAATAACTAAGTAATTATTATTAATTATTATCGACATAAGTACAGTTAGACAAGAATACCCATAAGCCAGATGTAATTGTCCTTTGTGAATATACATAAGAGAGAAATGAAAAATACAAGAAACTTTTATGAATAATTCAGTCTGTCGATTATTGCGCTATACCAGACCCTTTATTCGCAATCGTTAAATAATCCGTGCCACTTTCAGTGTGGAGGATGCAGTAGACAAAACAACGAACCCTGTGAAACAAACAAAAAGTCCGCAGGGCTTACCTGTCGTTCGAACTGTCGTAAAATCGTTGTCTTAAGCCTCGCCATTAAATACTAACCACTAAACTTTATTGCTCTCTCCTGCACTTTAAAAAATGTTCAGGGGCCAAAAGCAACAAACGAATAATTTAAAATTACTGCATTCCGAATACCTACCGAAATAACTGCAAATGAACACGTCGTCAACTATTACGCACGAGTCAACCGAGCAATCTATTGCTTTACGATTTCACAAACAAATATAGACATACATTTTCTAGTGCACTGACACGTGTAAATAATAAATATTTCAATTAATTGAACATTTCAGCACAAAAACAAATAAATTTTAAAGCACTATGCGATTGAAAAACGACACGAGTATTCCCGATACAGTCGTGCGAGTTCGGCTGAAGTCGGGTGGCTTCGGGCCGACATGACAGTTCCTCTTTAGTTCCCGGGAATCCTTCGGCGGGACGAGACGGTCGTCTTTTCGGAATAAATAAAAAAGTAGTGTGCGTACGTGTAGAGTTGCGTGAAGTGAAATACGTTATTCTACATTCTAAACATCCATGCTGTCATCGTGGTGGCGACTTGCAGCAACAGTTGCAGTTGCAGAGGGAAACGAAGTTGCGGATGCATCGTCCGGTAAGTTTTCTTGTATTTGAATAGCTTTAGAAAGAGTGGGAGAGCGAGCGAGTGCAGCGAGTGTAAGAGGATCCCAGATAAATATGGCGATTAAAAGCGATCAGAGCGCGCCATACGTGACCGGCGCGAAAACACGAACAAAGCATGAACGGTGAAAGTCCTCTCGAGCAAAGAGCACGCGGAGAATGTGGCGTCTCGGATGAGAATTTTTCCAGAAGATTATTGTATCTATTGGCCATTGCGATGCCGAGGGTCAATAAACAATGATGAGAAGGATGATCTCATGGCAGATAGTAAATACTTGTTGGCAGGGACGATAGGATTAACCTCTACTGGAGTGAGCAGTCGAGTATTAAAGCAGTAGATAGGTTCATGGATCATGCAGCATTAGTGGCTAATCGTGAATTCGACTCGTTAGGCATTGGGGCTCTCGGCCAGAATTCCCTGTAAGCGATAAATAATGGATGCCAAGCGTACAGGGAGGGTTCCGTGCAATAGCTGCTGGCCTTGGAGCATGTCGGGTGCTTTTTACTTGGTGCTCGTGAGCTTCTCTTTTCTCAGCGAGAGAGAGAGTGTACGTACGTGCTCCAAATGATGTGAGCATGTATCAAGTATTATTATAGCTATGGGTGTATACACTCTCTGTGGTAATCCTTAGAGCAACTCTTGACATATGGCTGTGTCTGCCTATCCCATTAGGCACTGACAATAAGGTATTCCTTCGATTTCCACGATAACGCCTTGCAGCGTTATCAATTGGTCTCCTGACTGGACGGTCACATTCATACGTCCTTTTTCCTCGGTATTATTGTATGAGTCGTACGTCCGAACGGCTGAGCGGTTGACGAGTGCCACCAACTAATTGGATATTTGGTACTGACTCTCCTATCGCGTAGCAACAAAAGAAGGAAGGTACAGCACGAGCTTATCTCCTCGTACGTATCTTCATTGTATAACGTACAATTACGACTAATTACCAATTACATAAATCACCGGAGCGCGATCAAAGCCTGCGTGCCTCCAGGCTTCGAGAAGTCGAACGTTCTCGGCGACTCTGCTCTTCTCCGCGATTCCTTTTTTCTTTTTGAATCTCCTGAACGAGTTTCTCACATATTATCCAGGTTTGGCAGGTTCCCTCCTGCTTCGTTGCATCCATTACTCGTTCTGCGGCATCTTTAGGAAAATTGAACTTTCGTTGCGGTCGTGTGAAAGTAGTGGGATATCGGTAACACGCGCATATGCGGTACCTTGAGGTTCTGTTCCTGTCAATTTATTTTCTGCTCCATATCATCGAGCACGTGCATTGCTCTCGTTGCAATGGCCTCAAGGTTATCGGATATCTACTGGCTACTGACGCTCGGATTCCCATTACTAAGAAAAGATTGCCCATTTCGTTCTCGAGGACGGTCCCCAGGCCCTGTTCAGTGGCTCCTTAGCGCCAGTCGGACTAGCATACGTAATGGAAAGATCGAGGAAAGACTAGTCCTGCTCGGTGAGGAAGCAACCTGGTGAAAGAGTACGTGGACGACGTGTAGTATACTGTAAGGAGGAGGTGCGGAATGCAGTCCTCGTGTCCTCCTGTCCTCCGCACCGCTCGAGTCGCGGGTCCTGCAGGTTCACTCCCACTCGAAGTAAATTGCTCCACGGAGCAGGTAGACCATCAGAATTAAGGAGACTCCTCTCACCCTCTTCATCTTTGACTCTTCGTCCTCGTCCTCTTCGTTCCGAAGGCCCATCCGGCGGCTCGGGACTCTTTCAAAAGCCAAAAGCCTTCCCACTCAAGAAGGATTCGACACGGGTTCGCTTCGCGGCAGGATCCCATCCTCGTCCTTCCGTCCATCCCGCACATCTCTCATCCTCGCCTCCCAGCGCCTTTTTATTCCTCCATCCAAGACTTCTCAGGTTCCATATGGAGACTGAGGTGTCTTCCATAAATATATCTAGACTCGGCCGTGCGCTGCTGGGTTCAGCGTGCGAACTAGAGAGCAGCCGTAGATCACGAGCAGCACGCTGCTATTCCAGCACCTAATGGGTCAGTCGGGCGAATATGTAAAGTAATTCACGGCTGGCTGGCTGCGCTGTCGCGCAGCTGCGACACAAATACCGAATCCACGACGCTTCCTCGTGGAAACGAGCCCAAGGGATGCGGAACGACGACAGGCGGCTGGAGACGGCGCAGCGCTCCGAGCGAACTCCAAATTTATTAGTCACCGTAAAACCAATATTTGTCAAGCTGGTGGGCGTCCCGCTCCATGAATGAAGCTAACGTCGAGACTCCCTGTTTCTTATTTATTTCGAGCGTCTTTCGCGTGGGACGCCAGCGAGACACGAAAATCATTCTTGCTTTGTAGATCCTCGGACCTCGGACTTATTGTATCGGCTACTTGCCATAACTTACACGTGGGAAGGAACTTTTATAAGACCGCAGAAAAACGACACCTTTGCCTCTTCCCGAGGCTCGAGCGCGACTCGCGTGCTGCATTCGTCCAAGGGGGCGTCGAGATTTTGGCGAGGATCGTTTCTTCTTCTTGGAAGCGATACAGTTTCCTGACGGTTTCGAATGGCGCCCACCGTCCTGTAATTAAACGCAGCATACCATGCCTGGTTCTCGGTTCTCCCGGCTCTCGATACGCCCACGCCTCTCCCACGGTCTCTCTCTCTTCTCTCCTTCGTCACTCCTCCTGCCCTTCCTCCTACTCGCCGCTTGTTTGGACACGGCCCTACCAACCTACCAGCATCGGCACACACTCGGCCGCTTGACCGGTGCAACACGGACCGGTCCTAAATCTCGCCCGGGACGTCCAGCGCGAAGGGGAGCACTGTCCCACAAAGAGATTCTGAAAAGCAAGAGCGCCTCGTGGAATTATTCGAAGATTGAATCTTTAAATGGACCAAAGGAGCGAGAACGCAGCGGGCAAGGGAATCGCTCTGAAACAACGCCGAGGCCTAGCAATCGTGTGTTACGCTCCGTCACAGGTTAAATGTCGATTGAGCCATATGCTTTGTGAACAAGTATACAGCGTGGCATACAGCAGTGGCGGACCTACCATAACCGACCGTGGCGTTTACATAGCGCGACATTTACGAGGATTAAGGGCGCTTTACGAGCATCGCAGACCAAATACCAAACGGCAAATACCAAATGCCTAGCGCGGCTCCCGTTATAGAGGGACAGCCACGATTCCACTGTACTGCAGGTATACAGCAGGAGAGACACATCGACTTGGATTCTAGGATAATTTTCAGAGTGGCCAAGATGAGTGGGGCACCGGTTGAGAGACACTGGACCGACCTGTCTTTTGACACAGCATCTCTCCATGGACCTGAATGAACTCGACTGGCACACACTCGAAGGAACACACCGATCGGCAGGTACCCAAGAAGTGCAGCGATAGAAGCCTCGTCGCCATGAGCACCGCGATCTAGCACGATATATCGGGAACGTCCCGAGGCCAGAATTTTCTCACTGTTAGAGTCGCGGGCTAGAAAATTCTCGAGTCGTTACGTCGAGCGATTCGTCACGGTAACCTGGTATGGCCTTTTTTCTCTTTAATCTTTTTTTTTCCATTTTCTTACCTCCCCGATATTCGCAATCTGGACCCCCGAAGCGCTCGAGGCACCCACGACCGTTAACCTATCCCGAACGAGGAAAGAGGAGGGTCGCCTCTGCTCCCCGGACTCTACACTCCGTCTCGCATACCTGATGCCCAACTGCGGCAGACTCTACCGGAGTCTGGGACACTCGGATATTCACCAGGAGGCAGCCTCCTTCTCTGGGGCAGGAATTGGGTCTATAGGTAACGCAGCGTCATCCAAGGGGCCAGGCGGCTCGACTTGGTCGACTTGGCCAACCCGAAGGCAACTGCTATAGTATCCCACGATAACGAAGATCCGTACAATCGAAGACCACAACAGGGCTCGGAGATTCTCGCTGAATCTTCCGCCATTACCTGCCGGCCCTCGACTCTCCTGGACTATGCCGGAATCCATTTTCCTTCGCTCCGCTCTGCTCCGGACGCCCTGACGCCTGTTTCACAGGCGTACAGGCGTCTCTCATCCACCCGTGGGACAGAGTCCCCAGGTGGGCTTGCTCTTGCGTAAGACACTGTCAGATCGGTAAAGTAAATCAGCCTGAAAAAAAGTGGAGGAGATCTAGCCAATAAATTGTGTCTCGTTGTGCGCGGTAACTGCTGGCGCAGTTGGTTAGGTTGGCGCTACTGTAACTTTAGGCCTCTAATG